GTCCCCCGCCAACCCCAACACCCAGCCCTTCAGTATCACCCCCGAGCGCTCCTGTGTCCCCCGCCAACCCCAACACCCAGCCCTTCAGTATCACCCCCGAGCGCTCCTGTGTCCCCCGCCAACCCCAACACCCAGCCCTTCAGTATCACCCCCGAGCGCTCCTGTGTCCCCCGCCAACCCCAACACCCAGCCCTTCAGTATCACCCCCGAGCGCTCCTGTGTCCCCCGCCAACCCCAACACCCAGCCCTTCAGTATCACCCCCGAGCACGCCTGTGCCCCCGCCCCGGCAGCACTGACCTGGTAATATGGCAGGGCAGTCTGCTCTGTGCCGGGCCCGGTGAACTCCGCCGGATATTGGTTCCCGAACTCCAGCCCGGGGCCGGGTGGGAAGCCGCTCTCGCTGCCCCCTGGCGCCGGGGCGGTGCTCCGGTTAAACTCCAGTGGGGCATCGGCCGGGTTGAGGGGGTTGGGGGGCACGGCCGGAGCCAGAGCCGGGATTGGGCCCTCACCCCCTGTCAGGCCACCCGCCGACAGCTCGCTCCTGGTTTCGGACAGGGAGAAGAAGCTGACCGCCTGCTGGTCCTCCTCGTCTCCCTCGCCCCTCTCTGCCTCCACTTCCTCCTCCTCCTCCTCCTCTTCACTTGCCTCCTCATTCATGATGTGTTTGGCCAACTGCTTGGCAGCATTCTTCGAAGCTGCCTTGATGGCAGATGGTGATGGGGTGGTCATCACTGTGGCCCGCGGTGCCCCCTTGGGCTGCCCACTGGCTTTTGCTGCCGGCCTCTGGGATTTGGTGAAGGGGTAAGGCAGTAGCGGGCGATCCATCTCCTTCACAGCCAGGTTCCTGGGCTGTGGGAGCAGGGCAGAAAGGCCCAGGCCTGACCCCGAGCCCTAGGGAGGGAGAGAGAGACAGTGAGCAGTGCGAGAGCGCGCACGCGGCGAGAGAGGGACAGAGAGCGAGCGAGCGCGCGCATGCGTGCGAGAGCGAGCGCACGCGCGCAGCACGAGAGAGAGAGTGAGCTAGCGCACGCGCGCAGCGCGAGAGAGAGACAGCGCGCAGTGCGAGAACTCTAACACTTTAAGGACACAAACGAAACAGCGGGGAGCAAGTAACAAAATCTTCAAACGGTCCCAAAAACAAAGTTATCTTAAACCCCCAGAGACCGGTTTTTAAACAGAGCAGCAAAGGGTTACTAACAAAGCCTCAGTGGCATTATCACTGGACTGTTCATCCAGAAACTCAGCTAATGTTCAGGGGACCCAGGTTCAAATCCGATTTGAATTCAATAAAATAAATCTGGAATTAAGAATCAAACGACGAGCGTGAAGCTGTTGCAGCTTGTCGGAAAAACCCATCTGGTTCACTGATGACCCTTAGGGAACGAAACCGCCATCCTTACCTGGTCTGGCCTACATGTGACTCCAGACCCACAGCAATGCTGTCGCATCTCGACTGCCGTCTGGGTAATTAGGGATGGGGCAATAAATACCCAGCCAGCAATGCCCACACCCTGTGGATGAATCAATTCATCAACGAAGAACCAAGGAGTAAATAACCAGCTTGAACAAACTGGACAGTTTTTCCTTTATTAACTAACAGACTCCGTTAACTACGCAGCACTGAGCATGGCTGTACTTCACACGCAAATCCGGAGTGGGTGGGGGGATAGCCTTTCGGTCCATCTGGTCTCCATCATCCAACAAAATCAAGGCTGATCGAATTCCTGTCTTACCTCTAGTTTCCTACCTATTGTTTGATTCCCCCAGCCCTGAAGAAAATCACCTAACTCAGCCTCTGCTGCTCTCTGGAGACAGGAGCTCCACAGACCCATAAGCTTCAGAGAGGAGACCCCTCACCTCTGTTTCAGTTGTAGCCAGAGTTTTAGATTCTCCCACAAACACCCTCACTGCATTGACTCCTCGACATCCTCCATCTGCCTGAAAAAAACCACATCGCAATCTTCCACGTTCCAATGGAAAGCGAAGGAAAACAAGCATTTCCTCGCACGACAATCCCTTCATACCTACAGACAGCTGGACGTGAACTCTTTGTGGACTGCTTCGAACTAGCTCTTAAGAGATCAAAAAGTCTGCATTTTATATGTTCATTCACGGGGCTGGGCCGGCATTCACTGCCCACCCCTAATTGCCCAGTTAAGAGTCAACCACGTTGCAAGTGGGTCTGGAGTCAAATAGAACAGTACAGGCCCTACAGCCCACGATGTTGTGCCGACCTATTATGCTACTAAGATCAAACTACCCTGCATACCCTACATTTTACTATCCTCCATGTGCCTATCCAAGATTCGCTTAGAAGTCTCTAAAGTATCTGACTCCACTACTACCGCTGGCAGCGCATTCCACACACCCACCACTCTCTGTGTGAAGAACCTACCTCTGACATCGCCCCTACACCTTCCTCCAATCACCTTAAAATTATGCCCCATCGCAATAGTCATTTCCGCCCTGAGATAAAGTCTCTGACTATCCACCCTCTCGATGCCTCTCATCATCTTGTACACCTCTACCAAGTCACCGCTCAGCCTTCTTCGCTCCACATGTAGGCCCGACCAGGTAAGAATGGCAGTTTCCTTCCCTAAAGGACATTAGTAAACTAATCAGCAATGGAGTCACGGTCATCATTGGACTCTCGATTTTTACTGCATTCATATTCCACCATCTGCCGCGGAGAGATGTCCCCAGGGCCACCACCTGGCTTTCTGCAATAATAGCTGGGCAATATTACTGCTAGGGCCATCACCTCCCCTATGAGTGACAGGAAAGGTCTAAAGGGCTGAACTGCCTCCTACTGCTGCCCAGCCTGGCCAAACATGTGATTAGAGAGTGGATGGTGAGTGAGTGAGTGATTTAAACCACTGCTTTCCCACCAGCTAGCCCCTCTGCACTGTATAACACGCAGGGTTCACGAAGCACGTATTCCCCCAGCTGTGGACATTCGCACCGAAACACTGACCTGACTGGTCCTCTTTTGCACCGGCTCATCGTCATCAGAGTCCGTCTGGAACAGATAAGGAGGCACAGTCAAACGGTGACAGGTAGAAACCAACCCAACTCGGCCCCAGGCCGTGGCATACCTTAACAACATTACCACACGCAGCCGTGAGCACTGTACAGCCCAAGGACAGGCCATCCAGCCTGTCTATGTTCCACCACAGCCTCATGGCCAAATCAAAGACCCAGCCGTGGCAACGAAGGGAGAGCCGCACTGGCGGAGGGTCGGCGCGGAGGGGGGGGGAGAGCCGCACTGGCGGAGGGTCGGCGCGGAGGGGAGGGAGAGCCGCACTAAAATAAAAAAAGTGCCTAAATTTTGCAGTCATTATTCCAGCAGCTGGCTAGTATAGTGTTAGTGAAACCTCCACATTCTGATGGGCCATTCCCTTCAAGATAAAGGACAACAATTCATTGGCCTTCCCTATTAGCTATTCACAGAATCCCTACAGTGTGGAAACAGGCTCTTCGTCCCAACAAGTCCACATCGACCCTCAGCATCCCACCCAGACCCATCCCCTGATAACTCACCTAACCCGCACATCCCTGGACACCACGGGACAATTTAGCATGGCCAATCCACCCTAACCTGTACATCCCTGGACTGTGGGAGGAAACCCACACAGACATGGGGAGAATGTGCAAACTCCACACATTGGTTCAAAGGTGGAATCGAACCTGGGTCCCTGGCGCTGTAAGGCAGCAGTGCTAACCACTGAGTCGTATGTGGGATAACTGATTATGATTCATGTATATATATCCCCCTCTCTCTCGGTGGGTATATATTTCTCTCTCTCTCTCTCTCAGCGGGTATATATTCCCCCCAGGGGGGTTATTTATTTCCCTCACTCCGGGCCGTATATATTTGCCTCTCCCCCAATAGAAATCTATGACCCTCTCTCCACCTGGAGGGTATCTATGACTTTCTCTCCTCCCAGGCGTATTGATTCCGCCACTCCCCCCAGGGTGCATTTATTCC